CATTTATTCGTTGTCGTTCGTGATAGCGTTAATTAAAATAGCATCGAGACTGGATTCTACCACGGTTTACCGGCCTCCCGGTTTACCACAGTTTGCACGTGTTGGTGAGCCTAAATGTTTATAGTATTAAGCAGTGAATCCTAGCAAACTACATATCAGAAGAAAGCTTAATAACTGCAGATTACGATAAAAACATAATTTGAGCGACTTTCTTTCACGGAAGTGTCAAGAGCCGGTAAGGCGTTAAACGACCGAAGGTTCTTCTATTGAATTCATCGGGTATCAGATGCTGGATCATGAGCAAAATGGCTGCACAGTCTCATTCACGAGGCATCAATCAACAAAAGTGTGTCAGGCTTTTTCGATATTCTGATTAGTTGTGTCCATATCGGCATCCTTAGTTGGAGTAGCTAAAAATATGCGAGTCGTATTGCGTAAATGGACGCCACGGGACAAATTTTTCAAATATCAAAATTTCCCGACACAGCTTCGTTTGTCATCATTCCTAGGATGTTTTGGCGAAATTTGACGAAAATCGGTCAAATCTATATACCCTATAAATTCGCTCAAAGTAGCGGTATTCCTCCTAAACTCAAATGCCAGATTTTAGCTTAGAAAGGTTTGCAAACAACTCGCGCCTCGCCAGAAGATTATCTGGCCCCAGGAAACCGCAAACCAATAGGACAACGGGACCTCCTGGCGTCAATGACTATGGATTAAGATTTCCCGATAAAAGTAACCCATTGCAGACTTTTTTTTTCTTTTTTTATCTAGATTGCTCAGTGGAGCGTTGAGGAGGACAACACAATGATAAGCAAAGTGGTCAAAGGCAAAGGAAAAACCCGCTGCAAAAATTTAAAAAACTGCAAAGCTGAGGAGCAAGACAAATAATCAACATACAGCTTTCAAAATTACGATTCGAGGCGATTTTTAATGTTTTTGTATCAAGACTAGTACTTGTATATAGAAAAGGAAACTTCGCTTTAAACATTATGTATGGTAAATTTTGGTTAGATGGCGACCTCTTTGTTCGAAATCTGGGCGCCAGCGTGAAGCTCCGTTAGTACTAATCGTTTTCACAAAAGAATTGTGTTCTTTACTTGACAGAGTGCTACCCTTTCTTTTCTTTGGGCCTGCCTTTTTTTCCTTTTTTTCTCCCAAGGACTTTCTTCCGCTGTTGATTTTTTCCATGCGCAAAGATTTTTCCATAAACAAAGAGCTTCCACGTGTGAATTTTGTAAAGTGTGCGATGTAAACAAAATATGGAAATAACATGAAGATCGAGCCTCAACATGAGCGGTTGCCGCGAAAATTCCCCCAGGGAACTCACCCAGGTCCCAGATAATGACACCTTCCTGATTTAATAACTTTTATTTGAAAATGCGTTTTTCTAAATAACTGTGCTTTTAAAGATATCAGATATTTTTTCCATGGAAACATTTGATTGAATGTTTGAATTCAGTTTTGTCAAATGAAATAAAAATCGATTTTTTAGGTCTCTGAAGGTAGGAAGTAACCTTAAACCCACGATTCACAGCAAATTAAACATTCATTTGTCGTTTCACGGATAATAATTTTACAAAATCACGCTTCACGACCACTTTGAAAATCACGATTCACGACAAAAAAGTTAGCAGTTTCATATTTCACGGGGAGAACAGGGGCCGATCACGAGTCACGAAAATGCCCTTTACCGCATTCACAAAACCATTTGAAATGCACATTCTTAAAACGATTGAAAAAGCGAGTAAGAACTTGAATTGTAAAAGACACAAAGTTTGCGGTAGCTTACGGGAGCAGCTTGCTACCAGTTGATAGGATTGTTTACTTACGGTGTAACCTAAAAGTTTTATCCGCGTAAGGTTTTAAAAAGCATTTAAGCTAGTGCTTGATGATGAAATTAGTGGTTAAGTATAAATTTTCGCTGAGGAGAGTGCCCGGAGGAGGGGTTACTCCTTTATATGACGTATACAGGGACGTGCCATTGGACAGGGTATTGTTTTCTGGCCTCTCTGTCTTGAACAGGATCTGAACTCGTCCGGGTATGAATAGGTCAGGGTTTGAAACCCTTCGTTGCACCCCTATACCCCTCCCCCTGAACACTTGTCTACATGGCTGTGTCCGACACCGCTGCATCAATAGGCTATCGGCCAAGATCCCTAAAAATTGTGTTCATTTCAGCCCATCCCTTAATGGAACGTTTAGCTAAGTTCTAAAATTAAGCTTGAATATTTGAGACAAATTTTTCCGATTTACCTTATTTAAAATTATCTCGAATTTCAGAACAATTCGAACGTTAACATCACTGTCGCCGAGTTGCTACAGCGAGCAGCCCAGAAGATAAGCGATGGGAATACACACAGTACACCATCGACGAACATCCCAGTGGCGGGCCCATCTAGCTCAGTGGTCGACGAGCACCGCAGGTTGTTCAATTGACAACTGGTAATTTATGGTTTCTTGTTTCTCCTATCAGAGGTTCAGTGCGCTGCAATGCGCTACATCCACGCTTCTACAACACTCGCTAACACTCTGTACCACACTTGAGCATACGTGTAGCTTCGAGAGGGTCGTGCGGCAAGCGATGTACGCCAGTAAAAATGTCTGCACGGACGAGATCTCTGGGGTTGAGTTGTTATGCTTTTTAGACCGTAGACCTTATTTACATCATTTTAAACAAAAATGAAAACTTGTACCATACAGGTAACTCTGTTTGGCATGCTTGAACATTAAATAAATCTTAAAGGCTTTCGAGTTTTCTCGTTCTCAGAGGAACCGTCCTGTCTGGCTTATCAATCAATTTTCCAACGCTATTGCGTGTTTTTCTTTTTCTACACCCGTATGCAAAAGTGTCCTTTGCCCGTTAGCGGAGCGACTTTTCTCTTTCATTTGCAGAAGCTTTACCCGCGCCGATGCATTTCATTTTCACTTGATAGTATGTATTCCGTACGATCAACTTCTCATAAAATTCAGAAATGTACTCTGCTTTTTTCGAGTCCTGCAAGGAAGGCATTAACAGAGGCATTTTCTCTAATAATTTTTTTGCCACTTACAGAGGGTCCACCCTTACGCGAGCAGGCGGCAGAACCGCGTAAGCAGTTCCTCCCAGAGAGCCCAGAGAGTCCCAGAAAATAGAGGTAACTGGTGATTTCACATTTTCTTCTACATACGGAGGCCCTTTTGCAAGACCTGGATAGTTTGCAATTGACCCAATACCGAAAGAGATGTGTTGGCCACGGTTTGGAAAGATAAATTGAATCTCTCGTAAATTTCCACCAACGAGGCCAAGAAACTAAATGTCTTGCGATTTATCACTTAGCTCTCTCAAAATAAGTAGTAAGCACGGATGCGTTTCTCAAAACCCGGAAGACATATCGGTTCCGAGAGCGATTATTTTAATCCATTTTCTTTCAAGTGGCGCTGTAGATTTTAGTCCCGTATAAACAAGCCCATCTTCTAAATCAAGTAAGTATGATACTTTTAAGCTTTCATAAACACCAAAAATTGACTACATGAGAAAAGAAATAGCTTTACGTAACTAGTAAGTTATCTGGACTTCTGGAACACTGGTCCCAGGGCCTACATGCCAGGTATTCTGAGCTTGTTAACTTGAACTTTCCTTTCAGCCGGAAAAAGAACAAAGCAACAGCATCCTATGTTTAACATTTTGAGGAGGTTTTAAGAAGTCTTGAAGAAGTATTGATAAATGTTCCCCACCCCTTTTTGTCATTTAGTGGGACTGACTTTGTGCATTCGATTGTTCACAGTATTTGTTTTCATCTCCAAGTTATCGGAATATCAACTTCCTCACGAGCTAATTCACGTAAACATTCACATCTTTCTACGGCGGCTGTAGTTTTATAGGTTAATTGGAGTACTGTTGAGAGAAAATAATGCATTTTTCATTCGGTGCACACTTGACTGTCACTAGTCCTTCCACTAAGTGTAACCCCAAACATTACAAATATCTTTAAAATCATCCATAAGTTAATTTGCATGCAGTATTGACCTTCCCTCTGTAGGAAAAATGACTGCTCAACTCCATTAGGATGACTTTTTTGATCTGTTAGAGTATGAAAACAGGACATTAATTAAAAGCAATGTTTACAACTTAATGCAATTACAACTTATTAAAACAACACTACAATTTTTAACAGAAAAAACCATTACCAGAACTTTTTTTTGCCTCGCTGGGCGTGACAAGCTCACCCATCGCCAGAAATCAAGGACATTTCGAGCCTGCTAACAATTATCAGCGGTATATCGTATTACACT